CTTTTCGGCTTGCAGCGTTCCTTTCAATAGCCTGCATCTATGATGGTATAGGGGTGAATTAGTGTGTATGGAATGGGCAGCTTGTACATCTGGAAAGAGGCCATCAATGCTGAAAGAGATGGCTAGAGAGAGAGATCCTGGTTTTAGAGTAGCATATGCTGCTATCCAGACATCATTTTCAGGGAAGACCTTGAATATTTCAGCAGAACAGTGCCAAACTACATACTGCATCTATGATAGCATAGCTTCATAGCAGAAACTCCTAAACTTAAGCAACTGATCTCCTCAGTTCTCAGACATTTACAGAATAGTGTCAAGAGGATTCAACACTGTGGTAAACATGACCCTTTCTCAACTTTTTTGAGATGTGTTGCTGCTATCCGTTTCAAAATTACCTTATTTTATTCTTAAAATGGTACATTTTCAGAGTTTACACATTTTGATATGTTTTCTGTTGTAAATAAAATATGGATTTATATTTTCAAATCATTGTATCATTTTTTGGAATTAGGATGGTATGATTTACACATCCGAATATCAACATTAGGACAACATCGTGTTGTGGGGGTTGTCAGTTTACCTCAGCTTGAATGAAGGATGAAGGAGCGCCAGGTCCATGTGCACCATAACCTAGTTCAAGGGTACCTAAATCAAAAACATCCAATGTATAGGTCAAATGTGAGTGGAATACCCCGATTAAACAAAGTTGGAATATATAGTGTAGTCACATTTTATACCCACTCATGCTGTAAGCCAGGGGTCTCCAAACTTTATAAACAAAGGGCCAATTTACTATCTTTCAGACTTTAGGGGCTGGACTATGGCCAGTAGGAGTATGGAGTGCCCCCTCTTTGGTATTGGGGGGGGAAGGGCTAGTGCCCTATTGTTGATATCAGTGGGAGAAATGGCACCCGATCATTGGTGTTGGTGGGAGGTATAGTGCCCCAATGTTGGTTTCAGTGGGCGGGAATCGAGCCTCATCACTGCTGTCAGTGAGAGGAATAATGGACCATTGTTTGAGTCAATGGCAGAAATTATGCTGCATTGTTGGCGCACTATTCTTCCTTCTGAAAAAGGCACTATTCTGCCTTCCTCTGCAAGTCCCAAACTGTGTCAGTGGAAATGACACGGAAATTGCCACACTGGAAGATCTACTCTCAGCCCATGCTGCTTCTCTCACTGTAGCACATCCTAGAGAGGAAGAACAAGAAGGCCTACAGGAAAACACTGCGAGGGCAGAGATAACATTGCCCTCCATGCCTGCCTGTAACTCGCATGTAGTTGGAAAGGGGGATGTATGTGAGGTGTCAGTGAGGCCATAAGACAAACACCTAAAATAGTGATGTGGGAGCACAGGCCAGGGATAGCAGTCACATCCCCATATAAAATTTGAACCTAGACAAAATGCAGAAGTCTCTGATTATCCCAGGGCTTTCCTAATACTTGGACTTCCTGGCTTACATTTTGTAAGGGTTTTGTGTCTCCAATAATACTCACTTTTTTTCTCAGCCACACTGAAGTAACACCCACCACCCTTTCTGTGCCCTCAGGATTTGAAGGAGGACCTGCCATCTTGTGCGGAACCCCTTTGCAATGATGTTTAATTATAAAGTCTCTTGCCTGTGGTAGATCCTCCAGTCCAAGGTCATGGTTGTTCTGGTAAAGGATACGCATTCTTTTCTTTTTAAATCCTGAAGGGACCAAGTGCCTATAGCACCTCATCTTGTTCGGATCCGTTCTAAGCCCTGAGCAGTGCGGTCAGACAGCTCACCTACTGTTTCCCCATTTTCACTGTAGTCTCTCCACACTACTAAGGAGACTAAGCCTTACAGCTGCTAGCCAGGATTACTGTCTCTAACTAATTTGTTTGAGCCAGGATGGCCCAAACAAACTATTTTCTACACGAACAGGTGCGATCTCTGAGCATGCTGTATAAACTGTATGTAGCTTTGGCTACATATAATATACAACCTTTGTGTTTCAGGGGTAAGACAAGAACCTAGTCTCAAACCAGAATAAAAGTTGGGCTAAGCGGCTACAGCCATTCATGGGCAGCTTTGTATTCTCTGAATAAATAAAAAGGTTCCTCTGATTGGCTGGGGTGGCATCTTGATTTCCAACTCATTAATTCAGAGTATACAAAAGCTGCCTATGAATGGCTAGGCAATGTCGTGGGTTTTTTTTTTTCCCCTGGGGTTTCAGACAAGAAGTTCTTATCTCACTAATGGAACACAACTCTGTGGTGTGTGGAATGTGTTTGTGGGGCTGAGGTTACAGTTTATACAGCGCATCCAGCTGGTGCACTTAATGTACAAGATAGTTTGGGCGAGCTTGGCCCAATTGAACTATTTGGAGACTGTAACCCTGGAAATCACTTTAACAAAGGTTGGCTGGCAGTTATCTATCTAGCAACAGGTGCATGCTGGAGTTGAGTTCCACAGTTCAGCACAGCAGGGGGTGAAGTCCGCTCCATTCACAAAAACAAGCTAAACGTCAGTCAGCACTGTCGCTCGGTGTGTTTGCTAGCAGCTACAGATTTTCAGGTCAGTCCTGCAGTGCTGTCTACTGTTTGGCTTGTATTTATGAATGAACAGTCAGAACTTGCGTGGCTGTGTGATAGAGCTGTGGCTGCTAGTAAGCATACACTGCGGCAGCTGTATCTTAGCCCTTCAGGGTTGACTGTTTATTCAAAAATGCCATAGTAAAAAGCAGGCCATAGATGACCTTGATATCGCTAAGCGAGGTGGATCGGGGAATCCTACCCGCTGCACTATTGTATTCTGAAAGCGGGTGCAAACAAAATATTTACAGGAAAAAAGCAATGCAACAGAAAACAAAATGGGTTGCTGAACAATAAGTATTTTTTTATTCTTTGAAGTACAAAAGGAAAGCTGTCTAGTGTGGTTGCAGTCCCTCTTTTCTGGACCTGGAGTGGGGTGTTGACAGAATTATTTGGCCAATCACCAGGTCTAGGATGTGGCCAATGGGATGCCATTGTGTTTGACCATATCACTGGTACAGTTTTCTATAGGTAATAATGTCTGAATACCAGAGGTTACTCTAACTTTTGAAAAATATAAATGAGGGGTGTCTCACCTAGGAGAGGTAGCATGTCTTGTTGCCTTCCTTTACCTTCTAATATAGTGATGTTTGGGCTTAAAATGGTGCTATTTATTACATATGGGTAAAAATGTTTTTACTCTGGTGGTTCTGTTTATCTTATAATGAAATATAAACTGAGGTTTGGATGGTTCAGAGCAAAATAGAAAGAAATGTGCATTTGCGTATGACCGTTGCATGAGGACACTGAAACTGGCTTATGTATTCAATTAATAAGGTTGAGAGGGTCTGCTTGTCCTTTTAGTGGACTGATGAGAATGTTCTCAAATGCTTCCAAAAGTATGTTATTGTATAAAATGAAGTGCCATGTCCAGAAAGGAGTGGAGAGTGGTTACTACTGCTCTCTTATTTAAAAGAGAAAGTCATGGATGACCTGTATCCCTGATGCCAGTTTGGAATATAAAGTTTTGCAGGCTAAAACGCAACTTGCCTGTGTTTTTCCACTTTGAGGAAGTATTTAAATGAAAAAGGCAGGCTGCTGTGTAGTCAAGTCAGGTCAGGTATCTGAGTACAAACTCTGGACTAGAAAGGGCAGATCCCCAGTCACGTCCAAAATATATGAAATGGGGTGCTCTTTGTTTCTGCATCTCCGACAGTTGGAAGATACCTCTGGGAACATTTTGTGTAACTTGGTAGGGACCCTGTACCATCTGGTTAACAGTTTGTATTCTGCTTCTTGCAGTCTGGATGAAATCAAGGACAAATGCGCAAAAAAATAATTTTATTGCTGTTGGGAAAATCGAAACCCTAGATCTCTCCCCCATGCAAACAAATAAGGGAGCATGTAGCTTTCCTGAGGAAATGTCAAGGCAACATAGGCAAATGCAGTGGGAGTGGGAAAGGCGACGTTGCTTGCTCTAGAGTCGCCCCAGCATTTGGACTTGCTATGTTTACACAAGTTCAGGATTCTGGCTAAATGAATCATTTGATGATGGCAAAGTGAGTCCGGGAAGTATGAAATAAGCAAATATAGTTACCCTAGGTATGAAATTATAACAATTTCATGTTCTATAAAGGAAAAAAAATGCTTGCCTTTACACTAGCAGCTGGTGTCACTTTCAAAAGTGGTCCCCTTGTGAAGCATCACACTTTTCTAGACTATTGTGCCAGTAATGTGGAAGCATTCCTGAATGCATTATGGTAAAAAAAATTAGGTTTTAGAACCACTTTAATGTACAGTGGATAAAACCATAGAAACATTTATCAGTCATGTCAATCCTAGGAATGTAGACAAAAAAGACAGTAGTAATATATTTGAAATTTTAGGGCCCGTCACAATCCTGCATAAGCTCTATAATGACTGAGTCTATTTGAAACTGTGCAAGCTGTCTTTAGGTGGAACTAAATTTTTAAAGCAGCATTCAACTTTTTAAAAGCCAACATTTATCATATTGCAGCTTAACAATTCTTAGATATGATGTCTGCGTTAGAGAGCCTAAAAAAGAAAACAATTTCCCTCTGGTGATCTAGCCACTAATCCTGTCTTTTTCAAAACAAGATCTTTTCCAGATGTATCAGTTTACTGGAATGGGATGAACCATTTGCTACTGGCAGGGGTGCTTACAGTGGTCTGCTTTTATTTATGTAAAATCTTTACCCCAAAAAGGAAAAATACTGTTTGCTGTAAGTGATTGTAAAGTGTGAGCTGGACTTTTAATTTAATTATCTCCCCCTGACAATTTTGCTGTCTGCTGTGATCCTTCATCCAGAGTGGGGATACTCTAACACAGGAGGTGTGTTACTGGCCAGAGCACCAGGTGAAAACAAATGCCTGAAAAAATAATGCAGCCACCACATCTAATGATGGGAATGCTGCAATATATTAAATTTTTGGTTTTGAATTTAAAGCAGCTTTAAAATATTTGCTGGCAGGTAAGATTTAACCATCTCCCGTCCGGCCGTTGCATATAAACGGCCAGACGGTGGCACTGCAGGGTCGGGTGGCCGTTTATGAACGGCCTCCCCGCACCCTGCTTGTGCGCGCTCCCTGGGAGCGCGCAGCACCGCGACCCGTTGCCCGCTGTATCCTCCGGACACAGTGAAACACCGATCGTCGGATCATGTGATCACTGATTGGCCAATCAGTGATCACATGCAAAGTAGTAAGCAAGATGTCACTTCTGACATCACTGCTTACTACGTGTGAAATCTGTGAATGATCACAGAGGTCACATGGTACAAGGCTATTCACAACAGCCTTGTACCATGTGACAATCTGTGACCAATCACAGCTCACTCAGTACTTCTCAATGAGTGCAGGAATGCACACAGAGAGAGAAATGATTGCTTTTACATCCTATATGGGTGTAAAAGCAATCGATGTAAAAAAAAAAAAAAAAAGTCTACATCACCCCCCACAAGTAGTACAGTGTCCAAATGGTGACACTGTACTGCTAGGGTGACAGTATGTAAAAAAAAATAAATAAATAAAAAATAATATATAAAAATGTTTAAAAATTATAATTTTTGGTTATAAACTTTTTTTTTTTTTTTTAACTAAAAAGATAACGGAATAAATTTTGGCAAAGATTTATGATGAAATATTATTTATTTGCAAAATTTTATAAAAAAAACACTTGTTCAAAATTTTTGGACTTTTTCATTTACATAGCAAAAAAAATAAAAATCCCAGCGGTGAATAAATACCACCAAAATAAAGCTTTATCTGTCTCAAAAAAAGGTAAAAAATTAGTTTGGGTACAGTGTTGCATGACTGCGTAATTGTCATTCAAAGTGTGATAGCGCTGAAAGCTGAAAATTGCCCTGGTCAGGAAGGGGGTAAAAGTGTCCGGTCTGGAAGTGGTTAATTACAGGAAAAACTGTGCCATTTGTCATAAAAGCTTATGCTTTACCTGCAAGCAGTGTTCTTCTAATTGTACACTGAATTGTGCCTGCGCACTGCTTTTGTGTACTATGTTGGGTGCTGGCAGTTTAACTTCATGCACAAAAGTTATGTTCCTCAATGAGCGGCCAAACAAGATGGCTGAAGATGACGACCCTAGAAGAAGGCTGGGCAAAGATGTCAGTGGTGGCAATGAGGGCGAGTGCAAAAGTTGCTAATTTCTTGTGATCTGATAATGCTGCCTCTCCACTAGGGGTTGCTCTGGCAGGCTTGACAACTGTGCTTGCAATGTCCGTGCAGCAGAGGCAGCATTATCCGCTCTCATGATTGCTAGATGGGGGGGACAGATATAGATAGAGATATATATATATATATATATATATATATATATATAGATATATATATATAGATATATATATAATTTTTTTTTTTTTTTTTTTTTCTTTTTCTAATATTTATTTAATTTCCCACCCCCCCCCCCATTTACTTGTGTTTTTTAATTGGTAAAAACTGAGGATGTGCGCATGTATTGCAGCGATGTATGGAATGTTTTTGTAGGAAGGAAGATGCATTCTCTCAAGAGATACTTTGACTCTTACTGTTTTAAAAGTAAAGTTAACATCCTACCTAGCCGCAGACACTACTGGATGGCTACTATTCTCTATTAGGAAAAACATCTTCTTCTTCTTTTTTTTTTTATTGCCCTTTCAATGATTTGGTTTTCATTTTGTGTAGTGAGATTGCTGTCACTGACTTACAAGACAGGTGCATTGAGCAGTGGAATGGCAGTTCAGAGTTTTCTGCTTTTAAAGCCTAGTTCCAGGTTTCATTTCACTTAGCTTTGGCCACCTTTGCTCAAAACAAACATATTTCCTTTAGGTCTGGTTTACACCATGGTGCAGAGATGTCAGTTTTTCTGCATGCGTCCTGCAAGGGCACAACAAAATCAATGTGCCCTGTTCACACCAAAACACCGGTAACACGTGTAGATTTCTTTCTGCGCAGGAATCTGCAACATGTATCAAACTCATGTTTGTGCAAGTGAAATCTGTGCATCAGTTTTTCTGCAAGTATAGCATGAACAAGGCCTTACTAATACTAATGGCTGCTGTCCACAGTGTTTAAACTGTATGTACCATTCACTACATCCAGTATATTCACTTTAGGACCACCCACCGCGGTCTACTGTGGCCAGGCAACTCCTACGGGATGAGGAACAAATAGATTTTTAGTAAAAAGCAGCACACCTTACACGTATTAACACTTGTTAGGCACACACTTAATGCCTTGATTACCCAAGATGTTAACACCTTCCCAGCCAGTGTCATTAGTACAGTGACCTTGTAACCTTAGTGTCACATTGCCCACTGCACTTTCATAGTCCCATTATAAGTCGCTGATGACCGCCATTACTAGTATAAAGGAAAAAAAAAAAACTATAAAAAAATATATATATATATATATATATTATATATATATTGTGTGTGCACACACACACACTATAAAAAGTCTACATACCCCTGTTAAAATGTCCAGTTTCTGTGATGTAAAAAAAAAAGACAAAGATAAATAATTTCAGAAGTTTTTCCACCTTTTAATGTGACATATAAACTGTACCACTCAGTTGAAAAACAAACAAATCTTTTAGGGAGGGGGAAGCAAACATAAAAATCTAAAATAATGTGGTTGTGCACACCTTCTTATAACTGGGGATCTGGCTGTGTTCTGAATTAAGCAATCACATTCAAAATCATGTTCAATAGTAGTCAGTACACACCTGCCATCATTTAAAGTGCCTCTGGTTAACCCCAAATAAAGTTCAGCTGTTCTAGTAGGTCTTTCCTGACATTTTCTTAGTCGCATCCTACAGCAAAAGCCATGGTCCGCAGAGAGCTTCCAAAGCATCAGAGGGATCTCATTGTTGAGAGGTATCAGTCAGGAGAAGGGTACAAAAGAATTTCCAAGGCATTAGATGTACCATGGAACACAGTGAACACAGTCATCAAGTGGAGAAAATATGGCACAACATTGACATTACCAACAACTGGACGTCCCTCCAAAGTTGATGATGAAAAGATGAGAAGAAAACTGGTCTGGGAGGCTGCCAAGAGGCCTACAGCAAAATTAAAGGAACTGCAGGAATATCTGGGAAGTACTGGCAGTGTGGTACATGTGACAACAATATGTTCTTCATATGTCTGGGTTATGGTGTAGAGTGGCAAGACGGAAGCTTTTTCTTAGGAAGAAAAACATCCAAGCCTGGCTAAATATTACAAAAACACATGAGGTCTCCCGAAAGTATGTGGGAAAATGTGTTATGGTCTGATGATGAAACCAAGGTTGAACTTTTTGTCCAAAAGATCTGTTTAGTGAAAAAAAACAACTGCACATCCCCAAAATAACATCATACCCACAGTGAAATGTGGCAGCATCATGCTTTGGGGCTGTTTTTCAGCTGGAACTGGGGCCTTAGTCGAGGTAGAGGGAGTTATGAACAGTTCCAAATACCAGTCAATATTGGCACAAAACCTTTCAGGCTTCTGCTAGAAAGCTGAACATGAAGAGGAACTTCATCTTTCAGCATGACAATGACCCAAAGCAGACATCCAAATCATCAAAGGAATGGCTTCACCAGAAGACTATTCAAGCTTTGGAATGGCCCAGACCCGAATCTGATCAAAAATCTGTGGGGTGATCTGAAGAGGGCTGGGCACAGGAGATGCCCTCGCAATCTGACAGATTTGGAATGTTTTTGCGAGGAAGAGTGGGCAAATCTTGCCAAGTCAAGATGTGCCATGCTGATAGACATATACCCAAAATTACTGAGTGCTGGAATCAAATCAAAAGGTGCTTCAACAAAGTATTAGTTTAAGGGTGTGCACACTTATGCAACCACATTATTTTAGTTTTTTTTATTTTTACTTCCCTCCACCTAAAAGATTTCAGTTTGTTGTTCAACTCAGTTTATAGGTTCCATTAAAGGTGGGAAATTTTCTGAAATTATTTATCTTCCTCATTTTTTTTTTACATCACAAAAAGCTGACATTTAACAGGGGTGTGTAGAATTTTTATATCCAATGCGTGTATATATATGTATATTCATAGTTTGTAGATGCTATAACTTTCACACAAACCAATCAATATACACTTATTGGGATTGTTTTTTTTTTTTTACCAAAGACATGTAGCAGAATACATTTTAACTTTTTTTATGAAGAAAATTTTGATTTAAAAAAAAAACAAAAAAAAACGTTTTATAGCAGAACGTAAAATATTTAGTGGTGATCAAATACCACCAAAAGAAAACTCTATTTGTGTGCAAAAAAATATATAGATGTCATTTGGGTACTGTATTGCATGACTGTGCAATTACCAGATAAAGTAGCACAGTGCTAAATGACAAACAATGACCTGATCATGAAGGGGGTAAAACCTTCCAGAGGTCAAGTGGTTGAAGCGCTGTGATCTGACAGCGGTATGGGGACTTCCTGCTCTGTTCCTGGTGCACAAAAAAATAGACTAAGGTTGAGCACTGCTCAGTCGTTCACAGGAAGCCTTTCTATTTTTAATGAAAGGCTTACTCTGATTGACTTATGGGGTCACAATGTACATTTTACACCTCAGCCAATCAATGGAAGCTTCAGCAGCATGCCACATGACTAAATTTTTCTGAAACAGCACAGGAAGTGACTACATTTTGTTTCTGGAAGAGCACAGGAAGTGGCGCTGCTGGAACATGCAGAGGCTACCTCAAGTTTATATGGCGCTGACAAGGGACATATAAAACTGTGTGTGTGTCAATTGTGCGTAACAATTGTGCTGGATTCCATAAGGCTAGATATAGCCACGGCTAAGTTTGTACTTGTAGCATAGTGTGCTCCCAGCACAGACAGCACTTGGCAAGAGCCCCAGGCCTCTTGGTAATAATCCAGAAGCAGGACTGGCTATCACAGTGATCAGTTACTGAACAGTTTGCCCCTCTGTCATGGGATTTTTTATTTATTTTTTTTTACTGGGGACAAAGAATATTTTTATCTTTGCTAGATGAGACTGTAAACATGAGACGTAGTTTAACCGCTTCCAGAAATACTGCTACAGGACGGCATGGGTGCGCAAAATCACTTGTATATATACTTGATTATGCATTTCCATGTAAGGGGTGCACGTGAGCCCTACCCACGCCGCCATTCGTGGCCACAGCTGTCAATCACCGGGTTCTGGACGGTGATTACTCGCTGGTGCCCAGTGACTTCTGAGGATCTCCAGCGGGGAGAACTGTTTTGTTTACTAACAGTGCCCCCTAGTAAACCACTTCCTGCACATAGTTAACCCTTTGATCG